GGTATTAACGCTGTTCATAAATGCCTCAACCAGATTCGTATACTATGCGTGTATTGGACCGCTGTGGTCTAGTATTTTCTATGCTGAGTATATAGCTACTGTACAGTACCGCAAATGATCCCCAACCGCAAATGATCCCGAGACCGCAAATGATCCCCAAAATGGACTGCAAATGATCCTCGACCGCAAGTGATCCCCAAAGTTGACCGCAAATGATCCCGTGAAAACTTGAGGAATGGAATGGATTTTATGGGACAAATTACAAAAAAGGACTGATTATAAAAAAAGGAACTTTTTTCTCGCGCCTTCTAAAGAAAAAGGGAAGGAGGACGCTTCGTCTCAGGTCAATTTATACAAGGCCAAAAAAAAGTAGAATAAATCTGAAAAGGATATGGTATCAACCGTATACTTCTTCCATTGTCAATTGCTGCAATTTTCTTTAAAGAACTGTTTCGTCGCTGAAAATTTAAGACAGACAGGACGTTACGCAGAAAAAACTCTATTATTTTAACGTCCATTTGTTGTGTCTTTGCTGGAGACAGTTACCAAGAATCTAAACCTGGTAATGAGAAACGCAAAAGCGAGGCAAGCGGTAGTTATCGAGTGACAAAACATCGTAGGAACCGTCACATTCACGGACTAAAAAAAAGTCGCTTATAATTATTTGGATCCATGAGGCACTTTAAAGAAAGTTAAACAACCTAAAACCCTTATTTAGCCGCAATGAAAAGCATTGCATTTGAAAAGAGGTCAAAGGAAATGCTTGCATTAAAGGACAAATCATGCCGACCAGAAACAACAATAACTGCCGAAAATGCGTGTCATGACCTCTCAGTATGAAATAAGCGGCAAAAATCACATTTGCTCAGACAAAACGTTTTCCTTCAGAGGTATAATCTACCCGCCAGAGAGAAAATTCATTGGAATAAGCAGCATTTTGGCATGAGGTACAAGTCGTGTGTTGCCTACCGACTTCGTTTTTACACTTGAATGATTTTTTCATTTAGTTTTTATTCATGTATTTATTTTAGAACTGAAATTTAGCGTTTAATCTTACTTTTTGTAATAATAATAAAATAGAGACGATGATCCGCTAACTCGAGTCTAAGCCATTCCTATTTTTATTTCGGGATCATTTGCGGTCAACTTTGGGGATCACTTGCGGTCGAGGATCATTTGCGGTCCATTTTGGGAATCATTTGCGGTCTCGGGATCATTTGCGGTTGGGGATCACTTGCGGTACTGTACACTACTCCTATACCGAGACATAGAGAGGCAAAGACAGAGATGGATTTGGAGATTTCCTTAGATATTAAGGCATGTTCGATTGATGTATTCTGGACTTATAGGATAAATGGTAACTAGAAAAACCGCACTTGTTTTGGCTATGAATAAAAGGAAATTTCGTGGTCCAAAAGCCGAACATGATGAAGGAACGATAAAGAAAAAGCTTGACACACAAGCCGTCTCTCGATGAATCGCCTCCACCCTTCTTGCCTTCTTGTGATTTCTTTCTTTATCCTCTCCCTGTCAAGTTGAAGTGGAGTCTTATCTAGCAAAACGTAGGGGACGACTCCCAGTTCCCAATTCCCTTAAACAATCGCCCCCTTTTTGTGCGAAAAAGAATAATAATCATCCCCCGGCTATTATTCGAGGAAATACGGTAACCTGTATGGTCTCCACAAAAGGCGCGAATTCATCTTTTAAAACTCGTGTCATTTGCTATAATTAAGTTGGGTAGTTTGTATTTCTTGTTTGTCATTAAGTTAGTTGTTAATCGTTTATTTAACTCTCTTGCAGTAATTCACTGAATTAACGAGTTCTATAAAAATGGGAAGAAACAAGTAGACTAGATATATTCTTTTTAGCTTTGAATTGTGTTATATCTCTATACACATTGTTAGAGTTACGTAAAAGTAAAAAAGTCTTCAGTGCGCTTAGTTCTGCAGGTGGTAACATTACTATAAAAATATAGCTGATCCAACTCATTCCTTGAGCAGGTATCTATCTAGGATTTATCGTTTGGGGGAGAAGTGAGAAGTCCCGAGTGGCCGAGGGCCACGATCTTGATAAGGGGTTCCCCCCGGAAATTTTTTGAAATAGATATGCACTTAGATGCAATCTAGTGCATTTTGAGACACAATTGTATCTTTAGACAGGGAATACTTACTTTGTGTGCACTGGTCGAGTCTGGATGATTTTTCCGATATAGCTACTTATATAATGTAATGATAACAATATTTTTGGGGGCAAGCTGAACATTTTGGGGTGGAAGCTTCTACCCCTCATGTCTCCTATTTAGAACCCCCGGTTAAGGTGTATGGACAGCAATGCTCCGCGTGGAGATTATGAAGAAGATGGTTTAGGTCCTTCATTCTGCGCATATACCTCGTACATTACTGTCATTCTACACCGAAGGGTTTCTACCCGGGCTGGCTCAAGAGCATCAGAGTAGCTATCAGCCCATGAGAAAATCATTTTAGTGCTCTCTTCTGTATCTATACTATTTTGTCACAAAGGTAACCGGGTATAGACTGCCATGCAGGTACGGCGTACTCTAGATTTTCAGCGTGGAAAAACGTTGTGCGCAAGATTCTGCGCATCTCTTATCGCAGGCTCAAGGCGGGCTTTTCTGACTGACTGAGATTTCAGATTTCTGACTGAGACTGAACGAAATGCACGAGGTGCGAACGTTTGTTCCCTGTAAAGCCTTTTTATTTGTTTGTTTTATTTTCGTCACTTGAAAATTACTTTGGATTCAGAACAGCCAATGGTAAAGGAAAAACGCATCATTCCGTCAGTCTGAGGTGGAATAAAAAGTTTTGAACATTTCCAAAGGGGGAAGTATTTTTCTGATTGTGTATTCGATTAATTTTTGAGTTGATTTCGCCTTCTTTCGCCGGGCTGAATCAAAACGCGGTTGTATTCTATTATTAGTAGTTACAGTTACTTTTTTTGCATGTCCAGATTTATTACCTTTGCAGAACCACCTTTATCCTTCTCTTCAGTCAAGGAACCATATTGCTAACGCATGCGAGTGAACAAACTTGTGCCGCTAAAAACGTTCTCGGAAATAGAAGGCCAGCAAGCTTTTTACCCGAGAAGAACAGACTCCTTCGATCATTTCTCTTTTGCTCAAGTAATAATTGTCAGAGTGTTAATTACATAATTTTGTTTTCCAGTGCACTGTGAAAGTTTCTGTATTTCACTTGCTGTTAAGTAGAGAACGACAACCGCCGACAGTGACTTCAAAACAATTAACTCTTTGCCCGTAAACAATTGCTGGAGCTGGATTTGACTGGAGCGAGCAAAGCAAACTCTTATGTGCAGTTTTCAGTATTTTCTAATGATTTGCTAGGTTCAAGTTGCTTGAATGAAGACCCTCGAATTATTAAAATTAGCCAAATGTCATAAATGGTGAATCTTGGTTTGGCTGTGAAGCTTGCACCTGATCTTTTGCTTTTGAGATCTTTGGGTAACTTGTTTTCATGAAGAAAATTCATTTCTTCATTGTCAGCAGGTATAAGAGCCCTTATCATAATTTGTTGTTTTGCAACCCTGTTGAAGCTTTGTTTAGTTCACTTAAGCTGAATTTTGTGCGTGATGGAATTGTTCTTTGCTTGTCGCATCTCTTTGCGAGGTTCAAGTGGCTTCTATTCTTTAAAGTGACCTCAGTCGGTAATTAAATCTTATACATAACTGGAAGAAATTTTTGCATTAATGGAACTTTAACTTTGTTTTAAGGAAATCCTACTTACGCGTAGGTTTTTGACAACCGTTGTGCATGTTCAACTTGACAACAGAAAGCAAAATTTATCTCCACGAAACGACCAAGTTTAAAAAACTATAGTTGCTTTGAAGCCGACATTGGGGTAGATTTTACTAAATAAAGATTGCCTCTTTTTCTGCCCACATATGAACTTCAAAACTTCTACAGTGAGGATTTTGTTTATATTTAAGTGATCTACGAAGCTACAAGTGTCCGATCGAGCGTGGGTTTTAAAATATCAGCTCGAGTGCGACAAAGTTCAGTGACTTTAAACATCTTGTGGGCATGCATTGATTATTTGGGGCAACTCACTGTACAAAAATATTTTGTTTTTGTGTCCACAGTGAGGCTCCGGACCTTATTTATCCAGGAACTTCCATATATCAACACATTTTGTGAAAGCATCTTCAGTTGAAAAACATTGGACCTACACGTGCACATCATCGCCAGTACAACGCAAGGAAATTAATGTCCTTAAAGTCAGTTTTACTACGAGGTGTTCTTTGAGAAAATTAAGTAATGAGGTTATAATCACAGCTTGCAACTTCTGAAGACAAATCGCTTATATTTTCCGGGTTACGAGTGGAAACGTTTTATCATCCCGGCCAAAAAATATCTGAAATCCCGCCGTTTTTTTCACACCTGGCCAGAGGAACGGGGCAAAAACGTTCACGCATATATTGCTCATTACGTTTTTCTGCCCTGAACTCTAGAACTGGTCTAACATAGCTTATACAGATCTTAAAATGCTTCTTGGTTCAAGGCAGGCCCTACGTACAACGCGATACAATGCGATACTTAAAAGAGTCACATCCGGTTTAAATGAGTGTGACGATATTTCTCGTCGCGTTCCGGTCACGGATTGGAGCTCAACTTTTAAACCGTCCTTGTTCCCGTTAAGTAGCAAAGTTCAATCATCTTCGTCGTCCGCAATGTCTTGACGAATCCTCTCTTTCGCTGTTTCAGCTGCTTGTCTTCTGATTCTGGTTCGTTCAGGCGGTTGGCTTTGTGCGGTTGGCACTCCTTTGTCGCTTGCTACTGCCTGTCTTATTTGCAAGGGCACAAGGGCCTGTCAATGTCGTGTCCTTTGTGAAGCAACGATAATCCTCGGACAACTCCATCTTTCCCTCGAATATGACGTACAACCTTTCCCTTTTTCTACTCTCCTCGATTTTTCTCGTCTGCGACTGATTGCGGTCTTGTTGGTGATTCGATGAGTCTCCATCAGGCTTTAGATATATTCATGTCTCCAGCTATTCCAAGCATGGTTTTTAGCTTCCCTCAGCCGCTTGTTCAGTGCACTTGTTTCTTCTCCCTCATTGGCGTGGGCATTTTGCCCCCACATCAAAATGTCTGGATTTAAAACTTGTTCTTCCCCTCCATCGCTGTCAAGATAGGTCAAGGGCCGGTTGCTCAAAAAGTCTTCTCGACGTCGATAACCACAGCCTCGAGTTGCTCAAAAGTAAGGTGTGTCCAGTCCAGTGTCTTGTGAAGGGTTTTCTTCACATCCTTGATCAAACGTTCATACATGCCTCCCTCCCAAGGGGATTTGAATAAGTTATGTATTAAGTTTTGGATAAGGTTATGTCTTGTCTCGCTAGGCAGTCCTGTAAATTTTCGTTCTTCGCGATTTTCTTCATTCAAGTTCATGTAGACTGGAATACTGTGCCGTTATTTGATGTTATGACCTTGGGCCTTGTTCCCCTTTCTATGATCAACTTTAACTTTCTCTAAAATTCCTCTGCCGTCTGGGTCTTCCTCAATGTACCGCCCTCGACGTGGCGCACGTAAACAGCAAATTGTAACATTTTCGTTGCTCCTTCTTTGTAATCTTGAAAGCGATAGGTCCGGCAAAATCTACCCCTGTAGTCTCCAAAAAAAATCTGCTGGCTTCCACGCTGTCAACTGTGGCATGTCTGCTGTTGCTGTAGCTCCATAAGGTTTCGTGTTAAAAACCTTGCAAACGTTGCACGTGTTGACCATTTTCTTCACTTTCGGTCTTAGTTTTGGAATCCACCATTTTTTCTTATTTCTGCCATGGTGTTGGCCACTCCCAAGAGTTTGATCTTTGGGTGAAGATGTCCGATTAACTTCTGTGTCAGTATACAATCTTCTAGGTAAGTTGGTCTGTAACCAGGAGTCCTTCCAACGCACTTTAGTACGCCCGTTTCTTTATTTTCTACCAATCTCCACCCTGGTGTCTCTGTATCTTGCAGAATTCTTTTCTTCAGCTCTTCTCACCCACCGTTCTTGGGCTTCTCTGATTTCTTCAGTACACAAAGCTCTTTTCCGCTTTATTCTCATCTGTTTTTTTGCCAGGGTGTTGTCTTTGAATCTTTTTTTTGTCTTTTAATGAATTTTTATTTTGTTATGTATTACATTTTTTTACACACTGACTTATGAACACGTAGGAAAAATACAAAAAAAGGAAAAGAAAACTAAACATATATACATCGCAGACACACATTTACACACTGACTAAAAAGAAAGAAAGAAAGACACCCCAGTACCTTTTACTCTATTTACATGAAAAAAAAATTAAGAAAGATTATATTAGAAATAAATAAAGTAAGCAGCGAAAGGATCGTATGCTAATCAGATTTATATTTGCTCCATTTCATATTGTGGGTCTCCAACTTATTGTTTGACTTAGCGATCATTGTCTCGATTGAAAAAACAGTTTTAATTTTGGAATTAAGTACTCTAATGGAGGGAGAATATTTGTTCTGTTTACAAGAGTATAGATATTGTTTTGTCAGTGATAAAATATGATTCACAAATATCTCGTCCTCACATCCTATAATACCAAACAGTATATCATTGTCTGAAAAATTTTCAGTCTTGACCTTATGATCAACAAGCCATTTTATAACCTCAGACCAGAAATTCTTACTATAGTGACAAGACAGAGAAAGGTGTTCGAGGGATTCATCCGATTCATCGCATAAGGAGCACGCTGGAGATGGTATAACACCAATTTTGCATAAGAAGGTATTTGTCACAAGGCATCTGTTTAGTAATTTGTACTGAAATTCGCGAGTCTTTGTATCCAAAGCAACGCGATATGGCAAGCTATAAATTTTTTTCCAATTCAAAGTGTCATTAACAAAATGAGCATTAAACTTTAGTTTAGCACTTGGTGGAGTGACGATTCTGTTTCGAAGCTCTTTCTAAACAATTTTCGAACACCCTTTTTGAAGTAAAACGATTTCACCACTTAAGCGTAACTTATCTCATCACGCAAATTGAATAGTGTGTCACCTGTAGAGATGCAGGTTTTCAACGATTCACGCCATTGAGTTGGTAGAGCGTCTATTAAAGAGACAAGCCTAAAGGGATCCAACGGGGAAAGGTTCAAGACTATCAACTCGCTTTTGATTATAAGTTCATTTTTATTCGAGATTAAATCACCCACTCGAAGGATCCCTTTCTTAGCGAGATTTCGCACAGCCTTGTCACCAATAGAAATAAATTTGTTGTTCCATAAGATAACTTTTGAAAATTCTTTTCCATTTAAATCTTATATATTTAAATTATTTACCCCCGAGCACTTTGCAAAAAATTTTAAGCATTCTTCATAAAAGGCTGGTAATTTGATAGGCAATTTCTTCAAATCAATTTACCACCAACAGGTTTCAGATAATGCAAAAGGATTGTTTTCCATCCACTCGGTTGATCATTTGCCAATTTCTTGGAATACAGGCCAGGTTACCTAGCAGCAAAAGCTCTGTCTTTTCGTGATTAACCTTTAGGCCAGAGCAAGTTCCATAACCTTCTATAAGTTTAAGAAAGTTTGTTAGAGAGAGATCATCCTTTAAAAAAACAGTCAGGTCATCTGCCAAAAGACTTACTTTGATCTCTTCATTATCAACTTTAATACCACGAATGTCATTACTGTTACGTATATTAACACATAAAACTTCTAATGCTGTAATAAATAAGTAAGCAGAGAGAGGGACTCCCTGTCTTACCCTTCTTTCAACAATTTAACACACAACTCGAGACGTTCTTCTAAAAAGTGTGGATCCATCGAATAAAAGATGTTCCAAAACCAAAAACGGATAAAGTTCGAAATAAGAAGTCCCTACTAACTGTGTCAAAAGCCTTTTTGAAATCTGTACAAACCATTCTTCCGTCAATACCGGTATCTCTTTAAAAATTCCATAACGTCCTCTATGGTTCTGACCGCGTCAAAAATGGTTCTACCTTCCCATATGCAGATTGATTGAAATGTATGATGTTTGGTAAAACAGTCTCCAATCTCTTGGCAAAGGCTTTTGAACCTATTTTAACATCAACATTGGTAAGTGAAATCGGTCTCCAGTTTGATAAGTCCAGTTTGTTATATTCCTAGAATTTCACTCAACTAAACAGGGACTGCCATTGGTTGATTCTTAGTCACGTGGCCTTGACTAAAATCAAATGTATCCCGATCGTGATACATTAAACAATGTATCCCGCTCGGGATACATTGCAGCACGTGATCAAAGCATGGTGGAAAGTGGCGTGACAGAAGGCGGGAAAAACACCGCCAGGTCCTGCCGTTTTTCTTTTTCGTGAATGAACTCAACAACACAATCACGAAGCCTCAAGCTAAAAAGCAACGATTTTTTATCCCAGAAGTTCCCAGAAGTTCCCAGCTAGTGGAGGAAAAAGATGCAGATGATATAAGGAAAGTACTTTTGTTTGTAAATCATTCATTCAGTGGTTTTGAGAATTAAATCTGTGTTGTTTTAAGTACCGAGTCGACTGTTTTGGTTCGTTTTCGCTCGCTCTGGTTATTCTTTTGTTGCTGTTGAAGTGAAAGTTCTAGAAATATAACAAAACACTTAATGTCAGATCCCTCGGGAAACCAGTTAGTTTTGTTATCCCTCGAGTCCTGATGTTTCCCTCGACTTCGTCTCGGGAAACGTCAGGACTCTCGGGAAAACAAAACTAACTGTTTCCCTTGGGATCTGACATTAAGTGTATATTGTCGTTGTCTTTCTTTTCTATTGGGGTAATAATGGCTTCTTTCTGACAGTTTGACAACTCACCGTGATCATAAGAGTAGTTTAAGCTGTTTACTAATAGCTGTCCTAAGAGGCCCCCAAAAGCCCTGTAAAACTTGGCTGTCAGTCCGTCATTGCCTGGTGACTTGTTACTTTCAAACAGATGAAGATGTTATCGTTATCAGAGAGTTTTGGCATTTCAGGATTATTTAAGAGCCCATGACTGTAAATATCGAGAATCGTTGGCCAGGCTAAATCGAAAATTCTGCTAATTTGTCAGAAAAACCCCTTTGGGGAACTATCTTCGAAAAAAATATTTTCAACTTTCAAGAATCTATAGTTTTCGAGAAAATGAGGAAAAACGAAAATAGCGGTTTTTACCTAATTAATTATGCAAAGACTAGAGTAAAAATGACCTAATTTATCGCGTCTGTACCGAGGCACGATTCAAGGCTATAAATGAGGAATATTTTTGTTTAAAAGAATTCTATCTTTTCTTTCTATCCATGGTATGTTTCAAACCATAAACTTGATTTTGAATTTATGGTTTTTTAAAAACTACCAGCAATGGCACTTTTTAAAATGGCTAAAAAATGAGCAACTTCAGAGGCAAAAAACTCACCTTGGTATGTGTGATACCCAGCCAAAATGTATACTAGGACGAAGTTGAGCTCTTATATTAACAGAATAGGAAATAAAAAAACTGGGTACTCCGGATTCGCCTTTACAAAATAAAAAGTTTCGTGACCACCAGTGAAAAAATGTCACAAATTTGCATAAGTCAAATTTGTAGAGAAATGTTGCGGCAACCGGTTTTGTTTCAATTTAGGGTCAGTATGTAATGTTCGGAAACATTACGAAGTAAGAAAATGTTTTTTGATAAAGTTTATGTTAAAATATCAGAGTAATTAACCGTTCAGAAAAAAAAAATAATAATAAACGACCTCGAAGAAGAGTTATATAAAAGCGCCGAATTATTATGTAAACTATATCCCATGTCTCTCGTTTCTTTTCCTAACTTCCTTGTATTAGCATCCATCTGTATTATCGTAAATTCGCCTCCGTTAAGTCTAAAATAGGTAGGTACATTTTCCTTGAAATTTTATTTTGAAGGAGGTTTTTTGCGAACGGGACACACTGCGTGAGAGGAAGTTATAAACTAACAGTTAGAGTAACAATGTCACGCAACGACGTCTCGAGCAGCTCCGCCTTCTTTGACTGATTTTTTTCTGCCTATGAAATTTTATGGAAACTTTGTTTTGAACAGACACTGCGTTGTTCGCAACATCATTTGTTTCTCAGGGCCGAGTTGTTGAAAGCTGGGTTAAGGTAACCCAGGGTTAGTGCAAAATTTGAAAGCAGATTTGAAAGCTTAAAAAGCATATTCACTTAAATTCTTTTTATCTACAATATGATGATTGGATGATCTTAAAAGAATAGAGAAAATTCTCCGAGAAAATGCTTCTGAAAAAAGGAAAAGAAACCGGATTAAAATTTAACCTCGGGTTAGCGCTAATCGGCCTCCGAACAAATGGGCCGAATAGTTTATTTTCTTTTCAGAAAGAAGGGATGCTAACTTTGCATGCCTGTCAGTCACGCACTAAAAGTTAACATTTTCTTGTCAGAGATGTTGAAATCTGATTTTTTTTACTACGTATTACAAACAACAAACCGTCCCTTGGTTAATTTCTTTACTTTTTCACAAATAGAGGTATAATTAGGCAGCTACCAAAGCAGCTACCAGCTAAGTGATCGTAGTTCATACGGTCCAGCGGTTTCTCTCCTCCGAAGCGAATCCCAAACATCTTTCCCGCAAAAACTGCCTCTTTTAGCTCATCGCGGAGTAGTATAGGAAGGATGTTTTACTCCGGTTTTTTGGGCAGGAATTTCATTAACTTGGGCAGGAATAAATTAACGCCAATGATGTCATAACCTTTTGTCTTGATCTCATGAATAAAATGCTGTGGTATCTCATTAACTTGTGGTGGAATCTCATTAAGTATATCCAGTTTGACGGGTTTATCAATTGACTATTTTCTAATTGCCCATAATACACTCTGTTTGCCGCCCAAATTTTGCATAACTTATTGTCTTAAAATGCTCTTGCTCCCAGGAGCATTTAAAAACAATGGTTTATGCAAAACTTGGGGGTCAAACAGAGTGTATTATGGGCAATTGGAAAATAGAGAATGATGTCAAGTTCTATTTTTATCTTGTGGCAGTCATGGTTGGTATAACCGGTTTGACAATTTCCCTCCTCCACAATTTTAATATTCGCCCTCAATTTTTTTTATTCCCTCCACCACAATTTTAATATTTTCCCTCCTCAATGTTATTATTCCCTCCCCCACAATTTTATTATTTTCCCTCCACCTCCTCCTCCTCCTCCTCATTTTTATTGTTTTCCCTCCTCCTCCTCCGCCTCCTCCTCTTCCTCCTTATTTCGATTGTTTTCCCTCCTCCTCCTCCTCCTCCTCCTCCTCATTTCTATTGTTTTCCCTCGAAAAGGCCAGAGAGGCCAAAATCAGACCATAACACTTGCGTTTGGCCTTATAGGCCTGATTTTAGCCTCTCTGGCCTTTTCGAGGGAAAACAATAGAAATGAGGAGGAGGAGGAGGAGGGAAAACAAGCAAAATGAGGAGGAGGAGGAGGAGGAGGAGGATGGAAAACAATAAAAATGAGGAGGAGGAGGAGGGAAAACAATAAAAATGAGGAAGAGGAGGAGGAGGTGGAGGGAAAATAACAAAATTGTGGAGGAGGGAATAATAACATTGAGGAGGGAAAATATTAAAATTGTGGTGGAGGGAATAAAAAAATTGAGGGCGAATATTAAAATTGTGGAGGAGGGAAATTGTCAAACCGGTTATACCAACCATGAACGCCACAAGATAAAAATAGAACATGACGTCATTGATAAACCCGTCAAACTGGATATACTTAATGAGATTCCACCGCAAGTTAATGAGATACCACAGCATTTTATTCATGAGATCAAGACAATAGCCTATGACGTCACCTAGTTAATGCATTCCTGCGCACGCTAATGAGAGTCCTGCGCAAAAAAACGGAGTAACCGGTGCGCCCTATATTGAGATTCCACCGCAAGTTAATGAGATACCGCAGCATTTTATTCATGAGATCAAGACAAAAGGTTATGACGTCATTGGCGTTAATTTATTCCTGCCCAAGTTAATGAAATTCCTGCCCAAAAAACCGGAGTAAAACATCCTTCCTATACTAGTACTTCGCGGAGTTGTACCACCTATCAAGGGGCGTTTTCCTTCAAATACAAAATGATATTTGTTGATTTCAAAATATAATGTAGCAGTGCCTTAGTGTGTAAATCTATACGCGAAACCCGTGAACCAAAACAAGTTCCAACTGACGCCTGTGCCAAGCAAAATGTAGCAATATTCAATATTTATAAATGCATTCAATTTAATACCTTTTTTTGCTATTTGCTTACTTCTATTCAATTTAATCCTCAATTTTCATTCAATTCAATCCCCAATCATTCAATTTAATAACTGATATTTATTCAATGTCATTCAATCTGAACACTGATACTTATTCAATTCAATCCTTCCGTATTCGTTCAATTTAAAATATATATATATATTTTTTTAATTTGATCACTGATGTCTATCCAATTTATTCAACCGTATTTTATTCAGTTCGAACGACATACATTCATTCAATTCAATCAGCCCATATTCGTTCAATGTTCGCACTCATTCATTTAATCTCGGGCACTGGGACAAGTAAAAACAAACGCGTGGTACTGGGGAACACTCTTCCGGCAAAAAAGATGGCGGAATCGGAAGACATGATCGATGTTTGTGATGATTTAGGAATCGAGAGTTTCTTTGAGCATGTCTTAAACAGGACGGAGGAACTTCTTGATGAGAACTCAAATGTAAGCGGTGAACATCGTATTTCAACCCGTGTCGATTTCCTAGAGAGAACGGTAAGATTACTAGTTCAATTGGCGAGGATAGTCACGGACTTCAGGGCGGAAAAATGTAATGAGCATGCGTGAACTTTTCTGCCCAGATCCCCTGGCCGGGTTTGAAAAAATGGCGGGATTTCAAAACTTTTTTTGGCTAATAATAAAACGTTTCCACTCTTAACTTGGAAAGAACAAGCAATTTGTCTTCAAAAGTAACAAGCTGGGGTTATAACCTTCTCATGACTTAATTTTCTCGAAGAATACCATATAGCAAAACTGACTTTAACGACATTAATTTCCTTGCGTTGTACTGGAAATGTGCATGCGTAGGTCCTAGTTTTTTCAAGATGCATTCACAAAATGTGTTCATATTAGAAAGTTTCTGGATATATAAGGTCCAGAGCCCCACTGTGGACACAAAAATAAAATATCTTTGTACAGTGATTTGCCCAAAAAATATAACGCATGCCCACAATGTGTTTGAAGTCGCTGAACTTTGTCGCATTCAAGCTGATATTTTAAAGCCACGCTTGATTGGACGCTTGTAGCTTTGCAGATCACTGAAATATAAACAAAATCCTCTATGTCAAGTTTTGGCGTCGATAGGTGGGCAGAAAAAGAGTCAACCTTTATCTCGTAAAATCTTCCCCAAAATGGGTTTCAAAGCAACTAAAGTTTATTCTTAAACTCGATCGTTTCGCGTACTAAGAGATAAATATAAATTATGCTTTGTGTTGTCAACCAGTTGAACGTGCATAACGTCTGTCAAAAACTTACGCGTAAGTAGGATTTCCTTCAAACAAAGTTAAAATTACATTATTGCAAAAACCTCTTGCTAACAAGGAAGAAATGAATTTTTGGTACGAAAACAACCTACCTAAAGATCTTAAAAGCAAAAGATCAGTTGCAGTGAGCTTCGCAGCTAAACCATGATTCACCAAGTACACCTGTGGCTGTTTTTAATAACCCAGTGAATAACTGGTCCATGTGAGGGTCTTCATTCAAGCAAATTAAACTCAGCCAATTGTTAGAAAATACAGAAAACCGCACATAAGGATATTTGTTGTAATCGCCTCAGACAAATCCAGCTCCAGCAATTGTTTACGAGCAGAGTCAATTGTTTTGAAGTCACTGCCGACAGTTGTCGTTCTCTACTTCACAGCGAGTGAAAAGGAAAAATTGCGTACAGAAAGTTATTTCTTATAAAGAACAGAAACTTTCACAGTGCACTGCAAAACAAAACTATGTAATTAAAAGTGGAGAAAACTCTGACTACTATTACTTGAGCAACAGAAAAATGATCGAAGTAGTCTTTTCTTCTCGAGTAAGCTTACTGGCCTTCTATTTCGAAGAAAGTTTTACGGCGCACAAATGGTTCTTTGCTGAAGAGAAGGATAAAGCTGGTTCTGCAAAGGGAATAAATCTGGGCATGTGAAAAAGTATTTACTAAGTAAACGGAATACAAGCGGGTTTTTCAGCCCGGCGAAAGAAAGCGAAATCAACTCACAAATAAATCGAATGCACAATCAGAAAAGTACTCGCCTCTTTGGAAATGCTCAAAACTTTTTATTCCACCGCAGACTGACGGAATGATCCGTTTTTGCTTTAACAGTGGTTGTTCTGAGTCCAAAGTAATTTTCAAGTGACGAAGAACAAAAACCACACAAAGGTAAAAAGGCTTTTCGAGAAGCAAACGTTTAAACCTTGTACATTTCATTCAGTCTCAGTCAAAACTCTCTCACCGACAAACAAACGCAGTCGAACACGGTCAACACACAAAAAATCCCGCCTTGAGCCTCCGATAAGAGATGCGCAGAAGCTTGCGCAGAACGTTTTTCAGCCCTGAAGTCACAGACGAAACTGATCTGAAACTGTTAGGCGATTTAAGAGTGGTGTTTTCTGATCTTTTTGAAAAGTTCCTTCATCATTTTGGAAGCACGGCATCTTATACCTGGCAAGTAATAACATTCCCTAGTCTATTGGTCAAGAGTGAAGGCCCAGGTAGACCACGGGTTCACATTCCACCTGAAGTACTCGAAGAGTTGAGAGGGCTGGGATTTACATGCCAAAAGATTGCTAGTATATTTTAAGTGTCGCGCTGGACAATTATGCGTCGAGTTCGTTTATTTGAACTTGAAAATCTCTCTCTCTCTTCAGCAGCATCACTGATGAAGAAATCGACGATATCATTCGCCACTACATTGCACGCCATGGGTCAACCACAGGAGAATCCTACCTCCGTGGATACTTTAGAGCACTGGGATATACCATACAGAGAAGAAGGATCAGAGAGAGTTTAAACAGGGTAGATCCAAGGAACACCGCATTGAGGTGGGGTGCATTAGTGTCAAGGAGAGTGTATTTTGTCCCGTGGCCAAACTCGTTATGGCATTTAGATGGTCATCACTCATTGATTCGCTGGGGCTTTATAATACACGGATGCATCGATGGATATTCAAGAAGAATTATTTTCCTTCATTGCAGCACAAATAATCTTGCTTCAACAGTTCTCGGTCTCTTTGAAAGTGCTGTGGAACGAGATGGTGGGTTATGGCCCTCTCCTATCAGGGTAGATTATGGTGTGAAGAACACTGCTGTATGTGATGCAATGGTAGCTGTTCGGGGAGAAGGTCGGGGTAGTTTTATTGCTGGGTCATCCACAAGAAATCAGAGAATTGAGAGATTATGGAGAGATGTTTTCAGATGTATTTGCCATGTATTTTACTACATATTCTATGCAATGGAGCAAACTGGAGTTTTGGATGTTGAAAACCCTATTCACATGTTTACCTTACAGTATGTCTATTTGGCAAGAATAAACAATGCTTTATCTGAGTGGATGGTCTCTTTCAATGACCATCCTGTCCAAACAGAGCACAGTTGGTCACCAAATCAAATGTGGTTGAATGGGATGATGCATCATGCAATCCTCTTGCTAATGGCAGTAATGACGTTGAGCCTGAAGATATGACATTTTATGGAGAAGATCCTGAAGCACCGATACCAACTGAAGAATCCAACAACAATGTAGAAGTGTTTGCTGCCCAGCTACCAAGCAACAACACTGATGAACTGGTGGCCTATTCAACTACTGCTGTTGATCCTTCACAGGAGTCTTCTAGTTTTGGTGTGGACATTAATGCTAAAGCTCTTGAAATTATAGTTCATAAGTTAGAGCAAGAACACGGAAGAAGACAGTATTGCCACTGAACAATGTGACTGACTTGTTCTCACTGTCATCATGAGTAATGTACAAAATGCCAGTGCCCAAATGTTAACCTGGGAAGCAGGGAGGGGCACTACTTGGATTATGGAAATTTCTAAATATCAGTGCACAACTCATGATCCTCCTTCAGGAGTCATAATGACTTCCTGTAAACAGTGGATTTATGTACACAAAAAACTCTGGTATTTAAATTATTCAACACTTTTTATTGAAGAAAGTGATCCTCAGTCCAACGTTGATCAAATTAACAGTCAGCCAGCTTATAAGTTCATAACAGTATCATATTACTAGTGCATGTTCAAGAACAGGGCGGAAAGCCCTAGGGACGAGGTTGAATCCTGACTCCGCGCCATTTATAATGCTCTTCAAACAATCATCAGAAAACTATCTTTTACAACACACGGATTAACCGGTATGTATATTATTTTAAAGGTGAGAACTGATTAGGGCAAGATACACGGCTGTCAAAAAAATAGAAATAACAAAAACTATCTTTGCAAGCTCAAATAAACTGGAAACGAACTTCAGAAAACATCGCAAGATAAAATGTTAAATAGAGAAATTAGAATATCTCTGTACGTTAAGCAAATTTTTTGCATAAAGAAGAAAAAAGAATGATACTTACGTGATGGAACAAAACTTTGACTTATTTCGCTGGCTATCTGGAAATTTACGACATGTCTTCTTGCCACAGATGTTATCTTGCCAGTATGATCCAGAGTATGACCGGGGTATTGTCAAGACGTAGGCTTGATTTCCTCCATCTCCCGGTCCGTTGGGGGCTCATTTTCCAGCACAGCGGCTTACAATCGAGCCTAACAAGAGCTTGGCGCTCCCAAAAACCTGCCAAGTAGGTGTCTGTGCGATGAACACACTACCCCCCCCCCCCCTTGGAGAAGGGGCCTTTCCTGAGGGGAGGGGGGTCTGTACACAGGCTATTTAGTGTCTGTGCCTTAGGCAGATTGTCATTTCAGTTCCAAGCCTCGAATACCTACTCTCGCTAAAATGAGTTCATTTTCATTGTCTTTGCTACACTTGCTACACTTAGACAAGTGACAGCTGGCTAAGTGCGACGTAATATCATCCATGCACTCTGTGAACAACGCATTTTCCTCAACACCCCTACTGGGACCTGACTCTGTCTACGATCTTGTGGAAGAACTGCTTGATGAAATAGCCGAAAAAGCTATTTTTCAAAATTAATCTCTTCGGCGATTTCATTGGCATAATTGTATTTGAAACTGGCACCTGTTGCATTATAATTCAATCAGACTGAAACCAAAACAAGATCATCGTTGGAATTAGGATGTTATACCCTAACGACTAAAAAGATACTCCCGTTTATTCACTGAAAAAAGGAACTATTTTTCCCGTTTCATTCCGCTACCGATAAACGCTCTAAAGATCTTTGAATGAAACTGAAATTTACTGCTAATTTAAGATAGAAAAATTGTGGGGCATTTTTTTTTTATCATAGTGCCATGTACAAAGATCTGCCTTCTTCTGATAAGCAAATATCATAATAAAGCTTTCGACGTTAACGCTATTTTTTAAGGCACGCAAAAAAGAGTGCCCAAAAATTTTCGTGTGCTGACAAGAGGACTTACCTTGCAAGTGAACTCTTATTTTTTATTACTATCAATAACTATCATTTAAAAAAAAGATGATAATATTATAGAATTGATCGACACAACGCTATTGTTTTTTAATCGACCACCCCTCTTTAGGAATGCGTGACAAGCCACGTAATTGAATTATTTTAAGCCACGCAAACATATATCGTGATATATTGTTCAGCTGCTTCTTCCTCGTTAAAAAAAAAACAACAACAACAGACCTTAAGGAGATTCTAAGTCATGGTTCGTGTTTTTCTGTGGTAGGAAAGTTATTTTTCCCCTTAGAAATGTGAAATGTAAGGATTATATTTCCTGTCAATTTGTTGAAACAACGCATCTAAGGCCCAGTTCAGACGTCGTGCTTCTGCCGTGCCGAACTTAATTGTAATTTGGTTCGACTGTAGCACGGCAGGAAAACAACTTTGATTCAGACGTCGTGCCAGAGTCGAACCAAATTCAGGATTTACTGATGCCTCGTAACAATTCTTCTGCAAACTCCCCGTGGAAACGCAATCTCGCCAAAATACATTAATATAATTTATGAATTTTGTTTAGCGCGGCAGAAGCACGACGTTTGAATCGCTGCCGTGCCAGAGCCGTGTAGCACGACAGCGCTTGTCGAACTTAATTGCTTGCCGAACTTAATTCAAAAGTTTGATTCAGACGCCGTGCTTCTGCCGTGCTTTTGTCGAACTTAATTCCTGAATTAAGTTCGGCACGGCAGAAGCACGACGTCTGAACTGGGCCTAAGGCTAATTTATGGGGAGAATGAAGTCACGTTTATCGTCGACGAGAAAAAGACCCAAGGAAAAGCGATTACTAAGTTTTCTCCACATGTTTGCAAACGTCCAACATCTAAAGGGTCTAATGACATATAGTGATAACTAGAAACGTTAAAGCTGTGGAAATTAGTCGATCAGATGCGGACCTGTTACAATTCCAGCTTTGCTGTCAAAATGGCGAATTTTGGAACACTAACGGAACTTACCGTGAACTTCGCACGGCACGCAAAGAAGAGTGCCCACAAATTTTGTTGGGTTAAGAAGTAGACTGGTCTTAATACTTCTGGTTTATCATAGACTTGAGTCTGCTTCAGTTGCCACTTTTGCGAAATTATAAAGGGTGCCAGAGTTACCCAGCCTTCTTGCAACGTTCTCCAGTGTTCCAACATTGAAGATTTTCAGACTCGTATTATCGAACGAACTTCACGCGAAAATAGCTAGACCACTAAGCGCAGTTATGATTTCTGCATGACGTGAAAAAAAAAAAAACACTGTGTGCCCAATCACCTACTTGTGTTTTGAAGGTGACCTCATGTAAGGACTTAATGTTTCAATTTGTTGAAATCAGATGTTTTTCACAGCCAAAAAAGTTTGCTTAAAACCCATTGTATATAGAAGCTGGGACATCAGGGTGAGGAAGGGCGCTGCAGCACGTGAGAAAGGGGGCGTTCCCTATAACATGCAAGAGCTTGTTGAGTCACAACTGTTAACTTTGTGAACCTGTCGTGGCGTCCCATAAAATAAAACCATGGGACGTTAGTCTTACCTTAGGCTCAACATAACCACAATGGAACCGCGATTTAACGAAACTCTATGTAACGAAGTCCTCGGTATAACGAACCATTTCCTCTAGCCTGGCCAAAATTACAGGCAATTAATGTATGGAACGGAACCTCCATTTAGCGAAATCCCTGTTGTAATAAAACAATCCACAAGCGCAAACGCAAGATATACCTCGATCTAACGAATAAATGTCCGCGTGTAATAAAAGATGAATGCTAAACAAACCAAAAAGGATAAAAATTAGGTTACAGTAGTTTTCAGAAGTTTTGTTTGCCTGTTCTTGAGTTTCTAGTGCCGCAGCTATATTTATTACATAGACACAAGTGTTTTACTGGAAAATATACCACTCGTAAAATTCATAAAAATTACATCCGAGACCCGAGTGGTTTATTTTCCATAATCTCACAAGTGAGTTCATCGATGACGTAATTTCGGTAATATCACTCCGAAATTTGTAGGCGTCTTGCAAACGCTGCCAAACGATGCCAAACATTCCCCTGAGTGAAAATGACGAGCAAAAGATTCGTCAAGTTTACTGAAGAGGAAATTGCGTCGTTTACCGAACACCAAGAAAATGCCAATACGAAGAAGAAAACTGTGCCTGATCTAAAATTATTTAACGAGTTTCTTAACAGCGAGGAAGAAGAGAGAAAAATAGAAAATATTCCAGCCGCCGAGCTCCAACATTTAGCAAAGAAGTCTGTACTCGGAGTAAGAAAGAAAAACGGCGAGGAATATGAACCATCTTCTCTAAGAGGGTTTTTGCAAAGTGTTGACCGCTACCTCCGTAAAAAAGGATGCACATTTTCCCTTTTTAACGACAAACAATTCTGTGAGGTTCAAGATATCCTGAAAAAGAAGCAGAAACAAGTTAAGGCCATAGGAAAGGGAAACAAGCCTAATAGTGCCGATACACTAACAGATGAAGAAATAGAGGAATTCTACCGGGCAGGAGTTGGGGGTTCTGTTATTGAAAGGGTTGTGACCTATAAGCTCTTGGGTGTCTATATCCCTGATGATCTTTCATGGAATGTTCACATGGAGCACATAGTCAAAAAGGCCAACAAGCGTTTGTACGCATTGCGCGCGCTTAAAAAAAGTGGCCTCACTATCACGCAGCTAGTGCAAGTGTACTGTAGCATTGTAAGATCTGTACTTGAATATGCCTGCCCTGTTTGGGCTGCCCTGCCGAAGTATTTAGAGGACGCTATAGAATCTGTACAAAAAAGGGCCCTACGCATCGTTTTGCCGAATTAGGGAACTTAAGAACCACGACGACGGCTTGGTCGACGACGACCGGAAGTGAGTTACACTGTACTGCGCAAGCGCGACTAGTAAATTTCGTCGTCGTGGTGTCGTCGACGACGCCAAACAAAGTAGAATCACGTCGTCCTACAATCCACAAGCTTCGGCAGGTATAAATCCACTGTTTTAAGCAATTTTTGAAGGCCTTTGCATTTTCTTGTCCTCCTAAATCCAGGTATCGTTCCTTTTTTCTCCAAACAAGCGATGTTGATTGAAAATTCGACTAATGAATTGATTTTACTTTGAAGAATGGCAACAGTTGAGGAGGCCGAGCGAGCGAGCTCGTAAGTGAATTGTGATAAATTTATTTGTACGTATTTAGGTAAGGCAAATCATATATCTTTAATATAGAGGAAATAAACTTTATATGGAAAACAGCTGAATAAGCTGAAAGCTGAAAGTTGAATAATTTCGTACGGAAAGTAGGTGTATTTCCACTCGAAAAGGTGAGACAACACCAAAAATTTTTCATCGTCAATGAAATTAGACGTACGGCTTGAACAAATAAGATCTTGCGTTGTTTTGAAAGACGCCATTGCGAAAAACTTTGTTGCGAACGAACATCACAGTTTTACATCTGTGTTTACATTCAGTGTCGTCGTCGTCGACCTACCGACCGACCGCATCTTAACTTCCCTTTTTCCCGCCGAAACCGACGTTCTCGTTCCAGTCTTTTCTCAGTCAACAGACGTCGTCGTCGACAACTTCGTCGTGGTTCTTAAGTTCCCTATTGTCACTATGACGACGCCCTAATTCAATCTGGTATCACTGCCCTTTCCCAGAGAAGGGAGGAAGCTTGCATAAATTTTATGAAGCGTGACTGCCCGTCGTCTCCGGTACTCAAGCGATTAATTCCTTGTGTGTCAATTGACAGGCCATACTGCCTCCGTTCCGGTACGCCTTGTCCCCAAGACAAAGCGGTTCGCAGATTTCTGCACCATTAAGTTTCAAGACCAGTTGAAATCCTGTGCTCTGTTATTTCTTCTCCGTTATGTAGTGCTTTTAATCATATTTACATAATTATCTATTTGATTGTTTTTGTATTGTATTGTCTTCTGTTATTGTCACTGACCTTCCTTGTAATTCAGCCTTTATGATGTGAGAGGGATATCAATAAACTATTACTTATTAAAACGCCACGAGCACTTCTGAATACAGTTTGGATTAACAATTGTATCTATTTCGGCATGAGGCCTGGACAAGAGCAACGAGATCTTTGCTGGAGAGATTTGGAGCTGAAAACTAATGCTGACGGGCTTCGTTACGTGAAGTTTTCCACCGAGCGCCAAACAAAAACGAGAACTGGTGAAAACACAAAAAATGTCAGAGAAAGCAAGCCAAAGATGTTAAAAAAACCTTCACAATAATGATCGCTGTCCTGCCACAGCCTATTTGGCCTATAAGCAACATAGACCACCAGAAATGATGGCAGACGACTCTCCGTTTTATCTTGCTGTCAATACAGAAGTTTCGAAGGCAGGGAAGAAATGGTTCAAGGCAGCTCCACTGGGAGTAAATTCACTTAGATCTATAGTGAAAAACATGTTAGCGGCCTCCTAAGTTCATTCAGACAAGAAATTGGTCAAACACAGCACAAGAAAGCATCTAGTACAGAAACTTTTGGATAATAATATTCCACCTAACGAAATTGTGGAAATAACTGGACACAAAAACGTGAATTCACTGAATAACAACTCCGCTATATCTGACAGAAGACAGTAGCACATCTCTACAGTATTATCCAGGAGAGGGAAATCTTCTACTTCTGTTGCTACTTCGTCTTCGCCAAAAGTAACAGTAGATGAAATTACATCGGTATCTACAGTTCAACCGAGCAGAAGTGCGGGAACTTTGCCCTTTCTTTACCAGTGCCAGGTAGGAACAGTGAACATTTTCGCAAATTCGCAGAATCCAAAAGGCGGCGATTTTGAGAAAACATATCAGTTTAAAAGACGGAGAATTGTTATTGATAGTACCAATGAAAGCCAATAAACCGTTCTTTGGCCTTTTTTCGTGCTTTTTTTCACATTTCGTACACATCTATTGAAAACTTTTTTGCCGCCTTATGACTAAGATTCGGTAAATTATTACTGTTATGATTTAACTATAATTCAAAGCTTTTTATTACTTATCATTTTTTGAATTTTACTTACACATTTTTCAAAGCTTTGCTTCTATTTTGTCATTGTAGAGCCCTGTTCAGCTCAGAGTTATTTCTCTAGATTAATGTAAAAAATGTCTTATATTGCTTAAGTATGGTACATTTGAGCCGTCGCAAGTACTTTTTGGCGAATAAAAATCTATTATTTCATCGATGTCTTTTTGTCTATATAATAAAAAGAACATTACACGGCGGCTTGAAGATATGAATTTTATTTTCTCGTGGCAAAAACATTATTTTACTCACTCGCTGTGCTCGTTCGTAAAATATTGTTTTGCCACTCGAAAATGAAATTCATATCTTCGCACCACCGTGTAATATCCTCTATATATATAGCTCGGTAGTAAGACGTTATTACAGTAATATTTTAGATCCGGAAAACTTGGTTTCGTAAATTAATTATTAACTATACCTCGATGTAACGAGCATTTTGGTAGTTTTCCCGAACTTTCGATAAGTGGAATTTCCCTTGTCCCTTGGCACTTCATTAAATCGAGGTTCTACTGTACCCATCTTTGTCAACAGCAATTTGTTCAAGGTGCCGAAAAAGTCATTATCTGGCTGCTCAAAGACATTGACAAGTCTATTTCTTGGAGTGCAAAGAATAAATAACTTACAGGTAATATTATTATTAGGCCAAGAAGGTTCGTTTCTGGCTGAGCCAGAAAATAACATTAAGAAAGGAAAAGACGAGGAAAAATAGCGAGAACGAGGGAAGTAATATGCTTAAAATGAAGTGCGCATGCACTGTTCAGCGAGTTTTCACGGGTATTCTTTATTGGCCATGAGTCATAGTTTATCAATTTCAGATATCTCCTCATATTTAAATTAAATTTAAATTGAGACATCTTCAATATAAGCAGCGAAAGTCTCATCCTCTGAGACCCAGAGGATTAGAAACTCTCGATTGGAAATCCCCTTTTGAGCCTACAATAGATCGGCCTGAGAAGACTTCAGAGACTTCCTGCTTAATATCCTAAATTAAAAATGAGAGATGAAAAAATAACATTCTAACGTGCGAAATGATTTTCCGTCAATGAAAAAGGGAATACTCTAATGCACCTATCAATGTAAAGCCGGCGGGGGGGGAGGCAGGGCATGGGGAGGGGATTTGATTGTCTTTGTTGCCCCTGGGGTAGGGCATCTGACTGATCTTGTTGTCCCAGGGGAGGGGATATTTGAATCTTTCTTCGCCCGACGTGGAGATATTTGACTGCCGACTCGGACGAAAAAGACTGAACATATGTTTCCCGCTTCCACGCTTCATGCATGCGCCGTACGGTTTGAAAACATCAGGAAGTCACGGAGGCCAATGAGAACTAGCCTGTGTACAGACGTCCCCCTGTTTTAGCGTGTTTTTGATCAGTTGAATCTCTTAAAATACTGTGGTATCAAAGTAAATGGAAGTAAAGAGAAACCAAGTCGATTTTTGCAAGTACAGTTGATTAGTGTATGGCTCATTCGCTACAATCACAGTAAACTTATAAAACTGACTTTCTTTGTACCCTTTTCTAAGAACGGTATATTTAAACTTACAAAATGTGGACTTTCTCGTAAAGGTTTATGTATTCTACGCAGTGTAACACGGATTATGGTTAAAACGTATAATTGCAGCTGTAACAGGGACATGTATCTTTGGTGATGCAGCAACGTTTATAAAAGATTGCAGAGTTTTATTAGGAGATATTTTTATTCTGCCTTTCTTGGGTTCTGCCTTGCGATTGACAGCAACGTGCAGCCTGGGGTGGGGGAAATTTGGTTGCATTTGACTGGAATGATTTGCCCGTGGGCAGGGAATTTGATTGCAAATTTTTGAAAAAAGTCAAATCCCCACCCCATGCCCTGCCTCCGCCCCCGCCGGCATTACATTGATAGGTGCATAACAGCTGACACTTGAAAGAATGCGAATTCCGCATTCCGGATTCCGGATTCCACATTCCTTACGTTCCAAACCCTCCAAAAACATGGCGGATAGCAAATAACGGTTTATAAGTTTCATCGCCTTCTCCCTTCTTCGCTGCATTAAAACAATAGCCACATGGAAAACAGTGATTAGAAGTATGAATTCATTAGGAATGGACAATCCTCGAGTGACAAAAACCCGATTTCTCGCTTTCTATTCTGGAAATTCTTCTAGACATTTGCGACGGAGAGACGTTGGTAAAATGGCCAAGTAAGGGAAGTTTCGCCACTCACCCCTCGACCGAAACTGAATGCCTGCCAAGTATTTAAACACGATTCAGTAGCTGAAGGATGGAACAAAAAATTGATATGCTGGAGAGCCGGTAAGTGTGAGCCACTTTTGAGATTTCACCTACTAAATTTGGCTAAAGTCGCATGTTACGCTAAATCGGTCATAGCGGCTCCTTGGATTTTCTAAACAAAAAAGTGGCGATGATTCTGACCTGTATTTTTTTAAAGATAAAGGTTCCATTAATACAACTAGTGAATTGGAAGCTTTGGGACGCCCTCTCTTATCCGGGGCAATCGACTGAATTTTGACAAAAATTGTTCGCAAATTTAACAAGCATCTCATGTGCCGTGTCGAAAGAAAATTCCCCAAAAAAATTTTACCGAAGCGAATTTCTCCAATCTAGTTTTGATATTTGTTATACACTTATTAACAGAAGTCTACAGAAACATTATCATCTATTGTTGGCAAAACTCGATATGAGGATCTAAGAGAGCAGCTCTTAAGGTGACTCGACCCAGTTTTTTTGTGGAGGTACCATCCTACTTTGAAGCTCTCTGGTATCCCCACCTTTACTTTTATCGTAAGTCTAACACATAGAATGGATAACATATAGATCAATGTACAATATAACATAAAATTTTTGGCGATCGGAGTAAATGTCACGTGGTTATAATTCCACGCCCCTTTGAGGTCTGAGTCGAAAATCGGCTGTTGCCGGCATTTTTTTGTGAAAATCTCTCGGCTACACATAGTGCGCTTTAGTGCCTTGCGCTGAACAGAGTTTCACCAAAATCGCAAAGACCCAATTCGAGAAATTCAGCGGTTTCCAAATTTAGGTCATAATTTATGCGAAAATGATAAGCAAATTTTACACGGATTATATCTAATAAACCAAGAGATTCATCCCTTTATTTTGGGCATCGTTATAACAGATGGGTCCTTGCAACTCAGCAAAACGCTTTAGGGCCTTGTAAATGCGCGCGATTTCGAGCAAAGCAAACATATAGAAATTATAGTTTTCGCTATTTGTTGACGTTTGTCAGCGTTTAAGAGTCCTTCTCACGAAAAAAGCATTTTCTTAAAAATTCTTTGTTTTTTTCCTTCAAAGTTTTTCAGGGCCACAATTGATTAACTAACTACCCGCACTCTGAATTTCATGGTCATTGAAAAACTGTGACATTATCTTCTATAAGCTAAAACTTGAGTAAACATTGAAGATTTTTAGCGTTTTGGCTGAGTTTGCGCTTTGGGAGTTTTCTATTGTTTCTAGTCTGTCATTATACAGCATTCTTGTTCAGCACGCGTGCAATGACCACGCTTGGCTGACTTCCGAATGCTCACCGAGATATTCCCGTCACGAAATGGTTTAATTATTGGCTTGCATTAAACCTATGAAAAAATGATATTTTTGTAATAGTAAGTAGACTTAGTGTGTAGCACTTCTCGATTTTTTCGCAAAGACACAAGAAGCACGAGAATTGATTAAAAATTGTTAGTTAAACCTCTATGTATCACGCGATGGCCTGTCTCACTGTACCAAAATTATAATATCTCGGTGAGCATTCGGAGGTCAGCCAAGCGCGATTATTGGAGGCGTGCTGAACACGAATGCTGTATCATGACAGACTACAAACAATAGACAACTCCCAAAGCACAAACTCAGCCAAAACGCTAAAACTCTTCAATGTTTACTCACGTTTGGGCTTATAGAAGATAATGTCACAGTTTTTCAATGACCATGAAATTCAGAGTCCGGGTAGTTAGTTAATCAATTGTGGCCCTGAAAAAATTTGAAGGAAAAAAAACAAAGAATTTTTAAGAAAATGCTTTTTTCGTGAGAAGGACTCTTAAACGCTGACAAACGTCAACAAATAGCGAAAACTATAATTTCTATATGTTTGCTTTGCTCGAAATCGCGCGCATTTACAAGGCCCTAAAGTGTTTTGCTGACTTGCAAGGACCAATCTGTTATAACGATGCCCAAAATAAAGAGATGAATCTCATAGTTTATTATATATAATCCGTGTAAAGTTTGCTTATCATTTTCGCATAAATTATGACCTAAATTTGGAAACCGCTGAATTTCTCGAATTGGGTCTTTGCGATTTTGGTGAAACTCTGTTCAGCGCAAGGCACTAATGCGCACTATCTGTAGCCGAGAGATTTTCACGAAAAAATGCCGGCAACAGCCGATTTTCGACTCAGACCTCAAAGGGGCGTGGAATTATAACCACGTGACATTTACTCCGATCGCCAAAAATTTTATGTTATATTGTAGAATGTTCTATATGTTATCCATTCTATGTGTTAGACTTACGATAAAAGTAAAGGTGGGGATACCAGAGAGCTTCAAAGTAGGATGGTACC